CATGCATCCCCGAGTGGAACGTCCGCTCGGCGGGTATCGTCCTTCTCTGATTCGTCCCAACCTCTCTCTTACTCGCGACCACGACCACCGTCGAAATAATTACACTTGCTGCCCGTCAACCGGTTGCCATGCATCTTCTCCTACGTACTCGTATATACCCAACCGTGATTTTGCTAATTAAATTAATCGCCACGAGAGAGAAACCGAAATTGTAATCGACCAACGAAATTTGCTTAATATTCAGAGCTTCTGTATTGATTTCAAATCGGTTCGATTTAATCGAACGATCATGTAAACGCATCCACCAAAATCACCTACTTTTTTCTTTCTCGATTGATCGTGTTAATAAATATGCTTGTATCGATTGCGTATATAATATATAATAATAATTAGGTGCACGAATTGATTCTGTGCATTGATACTAAATGCATCGCATCAAAATCGCCATTTTTTTTCATCAAAAAATTCGACAATTGGCTAAGAGATGAACCAAACTCGTCGAAAATAATAGAGACCATTTCGAAGAATAACAGATGTATGATTACGTTATAAATAAATACTAACTTTGTTTAAAATTCACCTCTTTAATTGCCACATATTGCTAATATATATATATATATATATATTTAGAGAAAGTAGCAAAATACGATACTAAATGGCAGGATGATTGAAATTTCAAGAAAGTCAATTACGTGTCGAAAATCTTGTAGCGCTTGGTTGAGAACCACTGAGTGCAATCTTGTACCAGCTGGGGTTTTGTGGAGTCTTGGGAGACGCTACTCTGGCTCGTAACCTCATCTCTCGGGGTCTTGGCTACGACGAGTGCGAGAGCAAGAGAGTGAAAGAGAGTGAGAGAGAGAGAAAGAGAGAGAATGTGGAGAGGGGAATAGAGAAACAGGCACCATCAGGGGTTGAACGAGGTAGGACGTGTCTTGAAGGGAAAGGAGAAAAGCAGGGAGAGAGGAGGAGTAAGAATAAGGAGAGACAGAAGAGAAAGAGAGAGAGAGAGAGAGAGAGAAAGAGAAAGAGAAAGAGAGAAGGGTGGCTCGGAATATATCCGTAAAGTTAGGGTGGTTCGGTGGTATGAGTCGGGTCGAGACGAAGCGCAGTGGTGAAGGAGTTGCTCACTCACTTACCACCCTCATGGCTCCGACCACCAACCCCAATGCCGCGCACACTAGCACAACCGCCAGCACCACCAGTACCACCACGGCTGCCGCCGCAGATCTCCTTCCAAGCTCGACATTCAGCCCCCGACCTATACTTTGGTGCCTGCTGCTTGCCAAGTTGCCTGCCTGGCTGGCTGCTTGCTTGCGGACCAAGTCGTCCCTAACACTACAAAGTCTATATATCTATGGTACACCCACGACGCTTCCTTCGCTCCCACCCACGCCAACGCCTCTTCTTCGGAGGCTACCAACCCCCATATTGATCGAGACACGAACCCTCTTTGCCGGAAAGAGTGGTGGTATGGGTATATCCACCCGGTGGGCTTGCTGTAAGTAAACTTACGTGAATGGAGGCCGTCTACTCTCTCTCCCTCCACCTCTAACTTCTATCTCTTCTCGTCCTCTTCTCGTCCTCTTCTCGTCCTCTTCTTGTCCTCTTCTCGTTCACCCTCCCTCCTCCAACCTCTATCTATCTCTCTCTCTCTTTCTCCCTCCCTCCCTCTTGAACTCGATCCTGCCCGGTATATCGCTGTTCTCGAAGACGACACATAACGAAAGCGGAAAGAGGTTTCTTCTTCGACGGTTCGATAGCAGTTAGAAAAGGAGGAAAGGGGAGAACGAGTCGCTTCGAGATCGCTTGTAACGTGGATCTCGAAGAAAGACGTTCTTTTCTTGTAGCCTTTGAGCTACGATCGGTTTATATAAAACGTCCGTCTTCGTGCCACGGCATACGGGTACTTTTTGGAACGTCTCCATCTTTTCGGCTATGTACTTTGGAAGGAAATAAGAGATAGGAAGGACCGAGACATTGCCAGATTTTCCTCCTCTTTGATCGAATTATTCGATTATTAATGTCTCAAAGAGTTCAGCAAGAGAATGCGGTTTCTCCAAATATATGTATATATATATATATACTTAGTAGTTTGCTTTCTCCCTTCCCTATATCACATCCTCGTTTTCCCTCAGCACATTACGTCGACCTAGGAAAAGGACAACCAAGACATTCTCTCTCTCTCTCTCTCTCTCTCTCTCTCTCTCTCTCTCTCTCTCTCTCTCTCTTTCTCTTTCTCTTTTCCTCTTTCTTTCTTTGGCTTTTCCATTTGAGGAATACAAGCGGTATACCATCTGGTTCTTCGGGCTGCCCTCGTCCGGATAAATAGTGGCTTGCCATTACTGGATAACGAGAAGACGGTCCTCTCTTCTAGCAGCTTCGGTGAGAAGGAAAAGGATCTCTCCTGAGGTCTTTACGCGAGGAAACTCGATGGAAGCACGTAATATGGTTCCCCGGGGGATTCCTCCCTACGTGAAATACTCGTCGTGCGAGCGTACATGTTTGTGCGCGTGTTTCAGCCACCGCTCTTTTTCTCTTTCCCTTTCTCTCTCTTTCTCTCTCTCTCTCTCTCTTTCTCTCTCTCTTCTGCTCGCTCTTTTCTACTTATTTCCGAGACTACCTTTCTTGGATGAAAAACTCGAGCGAGGGTAAATAAAACGTTGTCTCTCATCGATTTTATTAACGTCAAGAGGTATCTTCTACAAGATTTTCTCTTTTTCTTTTTTCTTTTTTCTTTTTGTCCAAAGCATCTAATTCCATCTATCTTCTCTTCATAGATTCTTGTTATGAAGATTACAGAGATGAAGAAGAAGAAGACGAAGACGAAGAAGAAGAAGAAGAAGTAGAAGTAACAACCCCTTTACGGTCTAAACTACGAACCGTATACCTTAGGAACATTCTCGCTTTGAAGTCGATCGCTCGTATCGAATACCGATGGGAACTCGAATCTTTCTCCATAAATTCAATCTCGCTCGACTTTTTATCGCTCACGGCCAGTTAAACGAGCGACGGCTGCGAAAATAGTCGACTAAAAGCGTTCGTTACTCTCGATCGAGCGAGCGGGGCCGCTTTCTTTCCACGCGCCGAAGCACCTTTCATTCGCCATTAGACCCGACGCTTTATCATCCCTCTGCAAATCTAAAAATCGTTTTCGGCCGAGCGTCGATTTAATCGCGAATCATCCCTCTCCGTTCCTCTCTCTCTCTCTCTCTCTGTTTTTTTCTCTCTCGCTTCCTTTCCATCGTTCTCTTTCCTCTTCGTCGATAAAGAAGGATCGTCCTTTTAGCAACGCGATCCTGACTCGAAAGCCACCTTCTCTTTTTCTTTTTTTCTTTTTTTTTTTATTTTCCTTCCACTCGATGAGCTTGCAAGGGTCATGGAGGAGGAGGAGGAGAAGACGGAGAAGAGCATAGCGAGGTGTCGAGGTAATGGACCGAGCTAAAGGTGGCGCCGCCACTGCCACCACCATTGCCGTTGCTATTGGTGGATGGAGTTTCGGGGTGGTGGTAACAGGGACGGGGTAATTGAGAAGAGGAGATTTACTTCGGAAGTACCGGAGAACGACCAAGGCAAAAGAGGGTTGGTTTACGGTGCTCTGCAAGATGGTACGCTGTTATCGGAGGGGTAGGAAAGGGTACCGACATCTAATCGACAGACTGAGAGAAATAGAAAAATAGAGAAATGGAAAGAGAGAAAGAAAATGCTATCCTGTATCGACGACAAAACTGTCGCTCATAAAACTTCCCTTTTCGATAATATCTTCTATTGTCGGTGGCTGTTTCTATATGTCGATAAGTGTCTTTCTTCTCTTTAAAAAAAGGAGACTTTTATTAATATTGTTCTTTCAAAAGCCATATTTTCTCTTTTCTTTTCTTTTCTTTTCTTTTCTTTTCTTTTCGTTTCTTTTCTTTTTTTTCATTTTATTCATCGTCATTACAAAAATATGAAAAAAAAAAAACAGAAGATTGCATTATTGCAATAATTGCAATAATTGCTAAGGTTCTTCGGAAAAAGGAAAAGGAGGAAAAAAAGAGATTGATTTCGTCGATGTCTCTTCTTGTTATAGGAAGCGATGTAGCATCGATTTATCTCTTTAATATCACTTCCATCGTATATCTAGTTTTCACTCGAAATACGATCCCGGAATTTTTACGACCGTTCGATATTGTTGTACTAGGGAAGAAGTTGATTTAATGATACGATCCTTAGAAACAAGGGAGATAGTACATAATATCTTACTTATTGTTAGTAGGAGTTATACACAATTTTTTGTCAATTTTGTGCAAAAATGTGAGAATAATTTTTCATATGAAGAATTTGTGACTTAAACGGTAAATGTAGAAAATTGTTGAATTCGAAAGTAGTGGAAGGACTCGTTGAGAGCTATCTTTTGGCTGGTTTTCCACTCTTCCGACTCTTCCGTGAAAATTCAACGAAGGACGAAATTGCAGGCCGTAAAAAGCCGCGATGAAATCGGCGAAATCGCATTAACCGTGCGCGAAAGAGTGACTCGTATCGCGGATGCGAGAGATTCCACGTGATACACTCTAACACCGTCCTCGTTTTACAGGCCACCCTCGATCACGATACTTTCTCCTCGTTCCATTGACGCTATATCGCCACCTCCGATATTCTCGATCCCTCCTCTCATCTCTTCTACATGTAAACGATTATCTACACCGACACCCACATAATCGACCGGTCGCGACGATTATTTTCAGCCGCGCGAAAGAGCATTTAACGCCTAGGAAAACCGTATCCCGACATTTCCACGAGAATTCGATCGATCGATCGATCGGACCTACAAATTACGCGACGAAAATCATTCCAAGCGTGTTGTTCAAAGGGTCGTACTAAAGTTTTATGAATTATTCAAATACATTATTTTCATTCATTGATATGCATTTTATTTAAAATTATCCCAATACACGTGATACATATCTTATTAGCCGAATGTTTAATTGTCCTAAAAGCAAGTAATGAAGTTTTTAACGTTTCAGAGAAGCTCCATATCACCGGCCGAACGCGAGAAATACAATAGGCCCCGTAGCACCCCAGATCCTCAACATCACGAACACCTACACTTGAAAAAGATGAAGAAGGAACAGGATAAAGATATAGGACATGTAAGTTCCACGAATGTTACTCTATGTCCTAAGATCATTCAGTTCTCCATAATAAAACTGTGCACGTTCTTTGCGACAGCAAAGCGATGGTGAAAAGAGCGATCAGGATTTAGTAGTCGACGACGCGAGCGAAGGACCGACGAGTCCGGCTGCTAATGGCACTACCTCGCCAAGAGAAAATGGCTTGGACAAGTTAGGACCTTCCTCGGTGCCGTTGAGCGGACAAGTCAAAAAAGAAGTACCACCACCGTCGCCTAGAAGTGGTACTAGTAGCAACGCCAGTACCCCGTCCGCTAAGAAAATGGAGGAACGAGAAAAAGCTACCACTCCTATTTCGAAACCAGTTACACCTACTTCGGCGGGTAAGTACAAGCCTCTTTTTCTCTTCTATTTATTTTCTACAGGTAAATAATATATCGAAGAACGATTATATATAGAAAATGAAAATGTCTATTCGACAGGTGGCAGTAGTTCGGGTTCAGGTGGTCTAAAACCATCGAGTTCTAACAAACCTCTGGTCTCCGCTTCAGCAGGAGGCCCCTATCCACCTCATTATCCTCCGCCACATCATCCGCCCGCAGGACCTCACGTGGAAATGCTTGGCTATCCTCCGGCTGCTTTGAACGGATATCCCGCAAGACCGCCACTTCAGCAACTTTATGATCCTCATGGTAGTATGAGGGCACCCCTCGGACCTCTCGGTGTACCTGGTGGAAAACCGTAAGTTTCTTCCTCGATCGTTTTCCTCTATTTTCCTCGAGGAAAAGGCTTATATATGCTTAAAACATTCTTTGCAGAGCCTACAGCTTCCACGTGTTTAGCGACGGGCAAATGCAACCGGTACCGTTTCCAGCTGACGCTCTCGCAGCACCAGGAATTCCCAGACACGCGCGCCAAATAAACACTCTCACTCACGGCGAAGTGGTTTGCGCGGTGACGATCTCGAATCCGACCAAGTATGTTTACACCGGCGGCAAAGGATGCGTCAAGGTCTGGGACATCAGTCAAGGCGGGAGTGGCAGCGCGAAGCCGGTTTCTCAACTAGATTGTCTACAACGAGACAATTACATTAGGTCTGAACTATCATCTAATTCTCTTATAATATTCTTATTTAAAATTAGATTCTATTACTCATTAGAATATCTTCTCTCTATATCTACAGATCGGTTAAGCTATTACCGGATGGTAGAACGCTCATCGTGGGTGGCGAAGCGAGTAACTTGAGTATCTGGGATTTAGCGAGTCCAACACCGAGAATCAAAGCAGAATTAACATCTTCTGCGCCTGCCTGTTACGCCTTAGCAATTTCTCCTGACTCGAAAGTTTGCTTCAGTTGCTGCAGCGACGGAAATATCGCCGTATGGGATCTTCAAAATCAAACGTTAGTCAGACAATTTCAAGGCCACACAGATGGTGCTTCTTGCATCGATATATCTGCTAACGGATCGAAACTTTGGACCGGTGGTCTCGACAACACAGTCCGGTCTTGGGACCTCCGAGAGGGTAGACAACTTCAGCAGCACGATTTTACGTCGCAAATCTTTTCTCTTGGTTATTGTCCGATCGACGAGTGGCTCGCAGTCGGTATGGAGAATTCAAACGTCGAAGTACTCCATGCAACGAAAGCCGACAAATACCAATTACATTTGCACGAATCTTGTGTACTTTCGTTACGCTTTGCCTCTTGTGGCAAGTGGTTTGTTTCAACGGGCAAAGATAATTTGCTGAACGCTTGGCGTACGCCATATGGAGCATCGATATTCCAGGTAATCTTTCTCACTTTTTTCTATTATATCTTATCTAATAAACACTAACGATACGTAAACTTATATTTTGCTTTACTTTCTTTTTTATAGTCAAAGGAATCATCCTCAGTGCTCAGCTGTGACATCTCCAATGATGACAAATACATAGTGACAGGATCGGGAGACAAAAAAGCTACCGTCTATGAAGTGATTTATTGAGTCGTTTTTATAATAACATTAAAACATTCAACGAACGTTAAATACACGGAAATTTCAAATCGCGTCGTATTCATCAACAAGACCAGTGCATTATTCTTGAGTGACAATGAGTTTGTTCGTCGATTAAGTAAGAAGAATTACTTTTCAATCACGGTACAGGTAACAATAACAAAATCTTGTTGCCATTCAAGACTGATTCAAAATGGACATTAGAACCCGAATTTAAAAAAGTACCAAGATTGACGATATTGATAAAAATGAAAACTGAATCGTTTGCATGTACAAGCGTTACGTTACGAGTTTACACACATATATCACACAAATATATATATATATATATATATATATATATACATATATATATCATACACATATCATATATGTCATATATATCACATATATAATATATACACATATGTATATATATCATATATACATATGCATATATATCCTATGTGTGTGTGTGTGTGTGTGTGTGTGTAAAAAAAAAAATATATATATATACATATATATAGACAAGAAACGCTTAGATATTTAAGATTGTATAGGAAGAATTAGTAATATGTAGGTATGAACGATAAAAGAGACATAATAAAGATTCTTGTACGAAATTCTCTCTTAATGATAGGAGGTAAAAATCGACCGTGCGTGTAATATGTTGCTAATGTAATATAGAAGACTTGATGCTATAAGTATATCTTTTACGTGTGATTGCGAAAGAAACGAACAATCGATCAATCGATCTATATCGTGCACTTCATCGTATGCGTCGTTCTCCATTTTCGCGCTTGAGATCCTCGTCGATCATAAAATCGGCAGATTGCTCGGCGACATGTTGAACATTGACCTCGTGCGTAGACTTGTCAAAAGTAGGAATGTGTGTCGTGATACAAAATTATACATAAGAAATATAAAAAGAAGAAGAAAATAACAGAAAATATATCGAACACGCGTATAGGAAGAGCGTTTATGCTAAAACAATGCGAATGTAACATTTATGGATGGAATAATTTTTCGATCGCGCTGTGATGTTTAGAAAATGTCCGAGAATGTAAGATGCATGTGACTGGTCTATATTTCTACTAGCCGGTAAAACCTGTGTATTATTGGATTTAAAAAAATATTCTATTCAACTACTCTTTCACGTTCAGTGTTGAATTGATCATTGTCACATCATCGTTAGATACTCGGACGGACTCTAGAAAGGGCATCGAATTATTTTCGAATCTATTTCTATTCTATTTTATGTTAACGAGCGCATACTCGAAATGCTTTAGGTATCACGTCCAAAAAATCGATGAGCTCGTACGCGGAAACGCGTTATTCTCACAATAAGCATTATATCAAGCGAATCTCTAAACTCTTGTTAGTCCTTTTACAACTGCCAGTCTTACACTACGTGTGAATGTGTTCATAGGATCGATCCTATCGCGTGCAACTTGAACGTGCGTTTACGTATCCACGAGTATAATACTGTTATTTTACAGATCGCGTATGTATGTATATGTATGTATGTATGTATGTATGTAAGTTAGATCGCGAGCGGTGTTTTACTGCTAAACGCGAGTCCGGTTCGCATGCGAAACTCATTATTTTGTTCATCAATAAAGAAAACCATTTTCTTTTCACGATCACACACATCATACAATTAGGTAGGTATATTTTACTGTGACAGAAACATCGATCGAGAATAAAATGCGTGTTCACGCCTTTGTTAACGTACATACATACGTATTTTAGAAAATATTTAACAAATTATTTTTATGACCGTAAACTTAGATTTAGGCCATCGCGCATCGGCACATTCGGTCGGCGTACGAGCTTGCATTCGTATCATCGACGGGATCTAGATTCGCGCGAAGCCAACGATAGCGACCTTTTCTCCTATCACTTTGTCTCTCTCCATTTTTATCTTTGCCTCTCTTTCTATCTATTTCCTCTGCGCTAATTAAACAAAAATCGAAAGAGAAGCCTCCTGAAGTAGAGTGCTAGTTGACACGGTATTATTAATCATCATTCCTTCTCCCAAACCGATCGGCGGAAGCATTTATTGCATATGGAAATTTATATTTTGTTACAGGATAACACAAAAACGCAGAACAGATAAGTATGCGTCACTAAACGCGCATTCGAAACGCTGTGATCGTTGCTAATGTCAAACGAAATCGATTTTTTTAACATTACTTAAAGAGAAAACGAGAGAAAGGTTTTAATAAATGACAAGATTTGTGACGACGATCACAGTCGTGACGATGATAATAGACCAATAGAAACAACGATACCTCAAAAAGACTCAATAGTTTATTATCTTTAACTGATCAATGTGTACAGAATCGATATTCTTTTACGGTAATATTAAAAAAAGAAACATACACACACAACGCGGAAAAGAAAGAAAGAAAACGGACAAAAGTAATCGCAAATTCGATGCTATGACGATTACAATTTTTCCTTTTTTTATTCCTATCCTGCGTTCATCAAATTATTATACCTCCACACTATTCGTGCTTCGCGCACCGACTGCGCAAAAATCGAAAGAACGGTCACTTATAAAACCGAAGACAAGAGCTAATATTAATATTTTCTTTCACCACATTTCATATCGTTCCTATAACTTTGTTTTTTCGGCAATTAAATCATCTATACATATGTATATATATATATGTATATATATATATATATATATATATATACACACATAAATTTCGACGTTGTTTATCTTTCTACCCTCGTACTTATTCACCTTGTTTTTTAATAAACAGATATAATTATTATTAATTCGTCTTTCGTATTTCGATTTGAAATTCAATTATCGCGCCATTTGGCGGTAACAGCACACCAGTGCTGCCACATGTCGTACTGTTTATCAAATTGTCACCGGCGAGTTTCAATATGGTCGCTGACTTTGCCTACGTACACTTTGCTGCTTTTTGTTCCCGCGTCTTTTGTCAATTATTTATTGTTTAGTGTGATAAAAATAGTCAACAAGATGAATATGTCCGTTGAGAAAAAGAAATATCCATCCGCATTACCAACAAATTGGTCAACAAGGGAAGAACCAACTAGAAAAAGTCAAAATCAAGTAACGTCAACGGGAAAAGTTGATGTTTACTATTACAGGTATGTATTTAATAATTATTATAGAATTATTTATATATATAGAATGTATTAATTGCTGCTATGGAATCTCGTTAAAAAATATTATCAATGGGATAAATGAAAGAGAAGAAATTGTTAAATATTCTATGTAAACATTGTGTTTACTAGATACATGTTTTGTATTTGGTTTTATTTGTTTCAGTCGTGGTGTAAGAAACGATGCATCATTGGTACCACCTATAAGGCAAACTGCATCCATATTTAAACAACCGGTTACTATATATAAAACACAAGAGGGAAAAGTAAAAGATGTAAAGCATGGTAATCATGAGAAACCAAAACAGGTTAGACATTAGATGTACTAATGTGATATAACTGGTTCCTTTGGTATTGACCTTATAAGAAATGGTTTTTCATACTGATAATGTTTCTTTTATATGGAATCCGCTAGCACCTACTTTTATTTTATATTAAGTAATTTTTATGAGACAAGTTACTACGGTTTTGAAACACCCTACCGTAGTGAATTGTTCTCTCCGTTCTTCATCCATATGTATGATACTTAAAAATGTGGCATGCTTTTTCCAAAGATTTATGTACAGAAACGCTCTCAGAAGGGATTGCTCTAATATAGGAAACATTTGAAACCATTTTATGTGCCTTTCCTTTTGATTCTCATATTATAAATATCCAATCATTCTCTTAGGAAGTAGCCGATAAAGCTGATGGTAAATACGGCTCCCAAGATAAGCCTAAGCAGGTAACTCTATTTAACGCGCTCGTCCACACATTCAGTATGATTTTACGTTACTGTATCCTATTTTTTATGAAAACTTTGCATCGAATATCTATTGCAATGCATTGTACTTGACTTAAATGTACCATAATACATGATAATGCAAATGGTTCTCTTAGAAAGTCAGTTCGATGGATTTTTTGATACATTGGAAAATATATTTCATTTTGCTAGTTTTTGAATTATATCCTACTTTACTTACCCACCTTACCTTGCAAAAGTATATAGTTTGATGTTAATTTATTTTGTGAAGTAACCTTTTGTTGTATTATTGATGTTAATTATATAATCTTATTTTATACATTAGTTTCACTTCTGATATATAAGTCATGACAGTTAATTTTACCTATAAAAACGTTTGTTTTCTTTTTTCCTATTGTAATATGATTGTAATTTTGCAGCTATTTTGGGAAAAACGTTTAGAAGGCCTAAGAGCTTGTGATCCAGATGGATACGAATTCGATGCAATGGATTTACCAAAATCTCTTAAACCTGTAGGCCCTTATATAACAGAGGAAACTTTGCTGCAAAGTGTAGCAACAGCCCTTCATGTATCCTCTCAACCTGTTACGGGTCAAACAGGATCTAAAACGGCTCTGGAAAAAAATCCCGGAGTATTTCTCAATCCTGAGCAACCCCTTGTACAGGTATAATAAATATTAATAACTTCCCTACTGATTATTTTATCTTTAATGATTCTAAATTCGCATTATACTCATAATCAACCCACCTGACAAAATTTAAATGAAGACATTTAAATTATTTATTTTTAAAGGCTGTTTCTATAGCAGACGAAGATATCAAACGACAAGAAGATTGTGTAGCACTTGCAAGAAAAAAGTTGCAAGAAGCGTTGGAAGGGATACCTACGTAAAGTTTAGTAGACATGTTATCATCAATACATTCTTTAATTTTAAGTTCATTTTAATTTATATTACACATTTTAGATTTTTTATAATAAGTATTTTATATAAAAAGAGAAAAAAAGAATGTGGAAAAAAAGAGGAGAACGATCAAGGTGAAACATCTTCGCGTGCTAATTTAGTTTTAAGTCGACACCTTAATAACCAATATGCTATCCAGTGCAAAACCACAATCATTTGTAATTTATTACATTTACAATCCAATTTAATGCGCTCTTCCTTCCATTAACTGGTTTTTATTGCAACATTTAATATTCCATTCAGCAACTTTCTTGTCTTGCATTACTAGACAACGCAACATAAGGTCTTATAAATACGAGACGAAACATTCGAAGAAAGATGCACGCGCAATCGGATTCTAGGTCATTAAACTTCTTTCAGCTAAGTTGCACGAAAGAAAGATCAAATTAATCAGATTGAAATCGTTCATGTTGGAAAGCGTTAAGGACAACCACTCGTAATCTGATATTGTCGTAAACGATCGAGCGTGTAGCAGGAAATTCGATCTTGTTCTGGTACAAGCCAAGAAAAAAAAAGAAGACATAATTGATATTAAAGGAAATAAAATAAAGGGAAGATGGAGAAGAGGTAAACATTACTGCTGAGAGATAGACATCGTTTAAAATCGATCAACGTAGCCTAAATATTTCAAAAGAAAAGTATAAAATAAAAAGGGAATGTTTCATCTAGGAACGTTTTATAAGTGAACAAGAAACTCGACGTAAAGTAATCACAAATAAAACGTAGACTCCCATTAAATTCTCGTTGCAATTACATATATAATTTAAGCGAGGAGAAAAAGGAAGAAAAAGAACGAAATAAAGTATGAAAGAGAAGGGAATATTTATTATCACTTTGTAGGGCTTGATTCTTCAGCAGCGATTCAATTTTTCTTTGCAATTCTCATCGAGTAACAGAAAGAGAAGACGATAAGGACAGCATAACAGAGATAGAGAGAAAGGAGAGAGTACTTAAAGCGAAATTGTCTGTACTCGGCGGTCAGGATAAACGAGCCTGGTCAATAAAATCTTTTTTTTTGCGAACGACGATGTTAAAAAATATATCATAACTAGACGAAGATAAAAGATATTTTCGAAAAATATTTTTCTGCATACTAAAGGAAAAGGAATAAGAAGAAAAGTGCATTTGCCTTGTTATCCTTGAGCAAAAGAGGATAAAATGAAAAAGAGAGGAGGAGAGAGACAGACTCGTGCCATCGTCTGGAGACGGGTAGACGAGGTACCTTAGTTCAGGGCTTCTCGTCAACAAAAGAAATACCCGAAGCACCCAGGTATATAATAGGTATATAGTAGGTACATACAATGCTGTATCGCCAGCTTTTCAGGTAAGCCAGGTGGTAACTTTTTTCCTCTCTCTCCCTCTTCATACTCTTGGAGAGGCCCTCATCCTCATCGTCCTTTTCTCACCATCTTCGTCGAACAGCTGTTTCCCTGTGCATTTGGGCAAAAGGCTCGCCCTTTTTCCTCCGCTTGACGTCGCGATCGAACCAGATCGTTCCTTGCCCTCGACCTGCACCATTTTTAAATCTTTATGACTCGTTTTATTTCTCCCCTTTCAATGTAATATACATACGTACTTACAGATACGTGTATGCATTTGTGAGAATATATACAAATATTATAGTCGAAGAGAAAAGGAGTAAATTGTAGCCTTATTGACGGTAGAATGGCGGAAAACCCGCATCGTAGTGACGTAAACGACACCCTACGGTCCGACGCGATTCGTTCTCATTCGGCTACCCTTAACTTTCTCTTGGGAAGAACGAATGGATAAGCTCAAGGTTGATGAACACGAGAAAAGACATCAGGGTGCCTAATTTCGAGGAACATCTAGTTTTTCTTTGCAACGATATGTCGTACAAATGCTTCGTTAGACAGAATTGATTTATTATCCTTTTTTAAGGAAGACAAATATTTCAAAGAAAGTTTAATCAAGTATAGGAAGTAGTAAAAAAATAAATTGTTTAATGACTAATATTGGGAGCTTGATTAGTCGTTACTTTGATATTCTTTTTTTTCCTTCGGTAAGAGAAAACGAAGCCAACGAAGAATATAATCCGTCTCAAACGATACTCGCATATAAATAGAGCGAACTGTAGAACAACGAAGCGTTATCGATCTTTTGAACAGGCCTTCGACCGACGGAAGTCGACCAAGTTGACCGACTTGACCAGCGCGTTTCATGTCTCGAGTCGACCGGAAGTGAGCACGATTTTTCACCAAACATCTGTCTTTTCGGAATGACGGTCAGCACGAAAACGTACCGTTTCTTAACAACGCTAAAATAATCTCTAAACGGATACGTTCAAATTCAAGGAAACAAATCAGTTAATAGAAAATAAATCATTTCGAAATGCGCACATATTTTGTTCTCATTATTATAATGCATCATCGATCTTTGATAATGTTCGAGTGTAAATAATGTTTATGAAAATTAGATTGAAGGACGCGACGAATAACGATTGTCTCAAGATCGTAAAGGACCGTAAAGTTTTCTTTTTCTGTACTTTACCTTTTATTTCAATCTTCCTAATTGATTACTTGGCAAGTGTTAATTCTGAAAGAGTGGACTCGACTATCATTCTACCAACATTTGGAGGGACACGAAAAATCGACATTTTCTTAAAGAGGCGTTGGTCCATCGGTCTCAACAGGAGAACAACTGGAGGGGACCTTCGACTCTCAACTGGCAACATGTAATCGATGTCGACTGACTTTCTCTCTCGTAGGCTGCGCGAGAGAGGAAATGGTGCGGTGTTGTGAGAGTTAAAAGGAGAAGAAAAGATATTAAAAAAAAAAACGAGACAATGCTCACAGCACGCACCCATGACCTAAGTTTTTTATTCAAACATATGACCACCATGCTTTCTGCAGCTTCTGCTGTTTGGACCTATCCAAACCTATTCATTTTCCTTTTTTTTGTTCGTTCCTTTTTTCCTACGGTCTATTCAATGGAACTTCGATGTGTTGTCTTCGTGGAAAAACGTCTAACGATTTTCGATATACATATAATGATATTAATATTCTTCAATAAAAACATTTCTCTTTTTAGTTACCATATTTTAAATATATCGTAAAAAAATATGCATATTCCTACCTAGGTATATTTTATTATATTTATTTTTATATATTTATTGTGTACGTTTAGGAAAGCTTAAAAACTGTTCTCGCTTTCCGTCTGGCTCTATTGTTATCCCGTTCCGTTTCGGGTACAGAAAAAAGATCGAAATCTATTGAACCGTCTGAAAAGCGGCCCTCTCCTCTCAACGTTTGCTCTCTCTCCCTTTTCTACGTTTCTTCATCCTCTCTATTCGACCCTTTGCCTTTTGCCTCTCCTACAACCCAAGTTCTTCTTTCGATCGAATACTATTCTCTTTCTCTCTCTTTATATCTTTTCTTTTCTTTCTCGTAACACAGACTCCAGACACTAAGAAAGATGTCGCAAGGAACCTTTCGAATGTAAGAAAAATGTTTGTTCTTTATGCACTCATCTCGTGCATCCAAAATATATAGCATTCTAATCATAGAAGAATGATCGCAATTTTATCTCGATTTGTCATCGGAAATTAAGAAAAAATAATGCCTTATCAAGAACTTTAAGCGATTTCTTTGAACTCGCTTTATTAAAAGATAAGAAAGATGATGTATATATTTCATTGTAAAACATCCGATCGTGTAGTTGATATATAACGCTGAAAGGAGGAAGGGGCAAGGTCGAGGACGTCCTAGAGATTGCGAACGCAACGATGCATCTATCTAGGAGAGCGAATTATCGAGATATCGATCGACTATCGCTTAATATCCGGTTACCCGCAAAATCGTGTGGCCTCCCGCACTGGAAAGCATGGCCGAGAGCGTCTCTGACCGAAACCCTCTTCTCGGCGGTCTGTCTGTCTCCGTTTTTGTCTTTCTCTCTCTCTCTCTTCTCTTCTCTAGGAAGGAAAATGTAAAAATATTAATATGTATATTAGATAGGATATTCGACAAAATATACTGATGATATAAAAGGTTTTAATCTATATATCTATTTGTAACTTTTCAAAAAACTTGTATTACTTTTATCTTATATTGACTTGTTATGCGTCTCTTGAGATATATATTGTAGCAGGAGTTTTTCAACAATTACAGATATACGGCTAAAGACTTTTCAACTCTTTCTCTCTCTTTCTTTATGTTGCGATTTTCAAAGTAAATGTATGATTGGAAAGTAATTAAATAAAAAAGAAACTAATTACCGTGATTACGTTTCGTATACCCATTTTCAAGCGGATTCAATTAAAATCTTTTTTTCTGATATAAAAACAAAGAGTATGCTCATTCGATGAGTCTCGTCGATAAGAAATGAAGTAATAATCGCGTTGCAAGGAGATAAAATCATTGATCGTCGCCGAGGGGAGATGGTTTTCAGTGTGTCGTCGTGGTTGTGATCGTCGTTGTCGGTAGGACTAGGAGCAATTCAGAGGTGGAGCCGACTCAGAGGCCAGCAATGCGGTTCTCCCGCGTTGTTACACCCCGCTCGATCGAAATCGAAGGAAATGTCCTCTCGCACGATCGCGCGAAAGCAACTCACCGCCTTACCAGTGGTACATTGGCTTTGCACACCTTGCCAGGAGGACAAGAGAGCCGACAGCTCTTGGGAACGCTTTCGCAAAGCAACGACAATGATCGCCGTGGAAGGCAACCGGTTGCACGCGCTAAAAATACGCGCTGGACGACGCGGAACGCCAAAGAGGAGCCACATCTACCTCTCTGCGTCATTGCGAGAAGGTAACGAGTATGTAATTCCACAGGTTCGACCCTAACCCTGCCTATTTTATTTTTACCATTTGTTGAATTTAATGAACTTGATGAAGAAACATCTTCTAATGTTTTGGATTATAACGTTTATCGTAAACAGGACAACGAAATTATTCGTAAGATGTTTTCGACGTTAATCAAGTCTTCGTTAATAAAATTATCTTTCAACGAAACATTTATCGATAATATCATTCATCCTTTATAATAGTTTTTCAAAGATCTATTTACGAATATCAAAGTTTTTTTCAATTTTCATGATATTCACGTTTCTTCTATTGAATATATCTTATTTTATGAAAAATAATGCAATTATTATAGTCTAATGTTTTGTTCTTTTTCTCGATTTTAGTTGAAAAGACAATTTGAGAAGATCGTTCGTGCCTATGCATTGATATCGGAGAATAAGTCGTCGAAGAAATAAAAAAATGTGTACGGTATTGCCGATGATGCCAGTGATCGATTTCAAAGCTCGTATTGGCAACTTACTCGTCTGTAGTTCGTTCGAGAGAGAGTGCTCGAGGAAGCATCGACGAGGAGGAAGGCATGGAAACATCGGTACAGCTCGTAACGAGCTTCGAAAACACGATAACTCGAGGGTATTTACGAGCGGGTGAGGTAGGAGCGCGAGAACGCTCGGCAGGTGCTCTCTTGGGCAAAAGGTGGCGTCCGGAGACAGCCTTGAGAGAGAACGAGAGAAAGAGACGCACCACGGGTCGTTGGATTCGACGAGCGAAGAGAAACAAAATCGGTCGGTTAGCTAGTAGTCGCTTGGCTAGTAGTAGTCGTTCTTCGGATCGTAGTCGTTCCTTTGCTCGCTCGACCGAATCCGATCATGAAATTCAATGAATCTTTACCTATCGCTCTTTTTCGTCTCTCTATCTTATCTTATTTTCTATGTTACCTACTATTTCTTAGTTACGCGTAATTAAATGTCAATAATCATTATTATTAACTCTATTGCTTATTTGCCATAACTCTTGCTTTTTGAAAAAGATCGGAAGTTTCATTTCTAAACGAATGAAATAAGAATCGTTAAAAATGAATAAAGCGTTAAAAGGAAATTTTGTTAAATATAGGATGACAAGAAAGTTTGCTAAATGTAGTTGTTCGACGCCAATTCCACGATATAAATATCTATTGAATACTCCCATGAAATTTATGTAAACCGATGCAGAACTATAAATCCATGTACGGACACAGATACATAAAAGCTATCGAATGTCTCTCCGATAAATATCTAACACGATGATTCGTTCGATATTAGCGTCCTGTAACCATTACGCGTTTGAGAGAAATCACGAGGCGCGAAGTAACGAATCGATGCTCGTTCCAATTTTCGAACATTGCCCTGTAATGCGTTTACCGTGGCTACTGACAACGTTGTTGGATTCATTTCATCGAATTTTCAACGATCGCCCGCCGATTTATTTATTCGCAAAATAATTTCTTATACGATGTACTCCCGTCGTGCGTGTAGTACACAAACGTGCTAGCTCTCGATTTTCATCCCGACTCGAAGTAGGCATATTTTATATTTGAAAATAACGGTCTTTTCGTTCGAGGAAAAAAAGAAAGGCTATACCTGAAAAATGGGTTGGATTTAGAGAAAATTCTAAACGAAACCATTCCTAGAAAAAGGAAAGAAAACGAAGAATGACCTGCAAAGAACAATAAAACCCAACTAGCTTACAGACCGATGGACCTTTGAACCGAACTATGAGGTCCGATATCCTCTTCTTTGTGTCCTTTTCAGGTCCAATTCAGTAAAGAATTGTTAACTAAAAATAACTTCGAAGGAATGCACCCAAGTAGAAGAAAAATTTGTCAGACTTTCTCTAAGAATTTTCTCAATGTCGACGTGAAACTCAACAACGATAGATCGAAGAAACTTAACTTATTATTGTTAATCGAATCGTCTAATGATTTTGGTTCTCGATTTACACGTTTATTCGATAAACATAAATCGAAGTAATTCCATCAGCTTTGATCAAAAACTGAGAGAGCTATTCCCAGAGAGAATATTTCCATATTTAGTTAACATTTTCGTTCCGACGCTAAAAAATTTACATCGACTTTTCGTATCATTGTAAATCTTTTTTTAACTTGTAACGGGAAGAGAACGAGAAGAACATAGGATCAATAGTGACTTTTTCCAGACGATAGAAAGAACGAAAAAAATCACTCGAAAAAGCAATATTTAACTCTATGCAGCCACAGCGGCGACATTCGTAAGTTGTTGGAGAGGTCGGGGCCGCCAGCCTGGCGGCATTAATAATCGTGAAATTATAGAAATTAAAAATTTATGTTTTTATGTATTATAAGTACTATTAAACACAACAAATCAGTTTTAACAAATTCTGTGTTTTTTTAATATCCACATATTTGCTTTAAATCACTCTAAAGGAGAAATAATTCCGAAAAGTTAAATTCGCTCCGACTAGTTGGTATTCCATTAGAAAAATTTGCCGATCGCAAAGAGTTAACGGAGCGAAAACTCGTGCTCGCCTTGATATCCGACAGAGCTTTCCTTTCGAAGTAGGTACGCTCGACGTTGTGTTTAATTTATAGCTTTATAGGAGGCTCAAACGATTCAAGCAAGCTTTACGACCTCAACGATGCATCGCTATTATTCCTACGGAGTCGTAAATTTCCTTCCTGTTGCATTTCCCCCCTTGTCGATGATCGCACGCGAGTTTGATCTTCGAGAGACTCGCGGGAATTGCAAAAGAGATCTCGCAAAGTAAAATAAAAAAAAAAGACAGGATAAAAGCTTGGTTTGCATAGTTTGGTCAACTTTAGTCAGTCGAATTGGAAATGATATTTGTTTGTCGCGCGATCGAAGAGGTTGTATCAGGGTGGGTTGCGGGGGTTCATCGCTCCGGAAGAACACAGCCGACGTGGCGTGGCGTGGCGTAGCGTGGCGCGGCGTGGCGTGGCGCGGTGTGGCGTGGCGTGGCCAGACATTGACGAGGTGGTAGTCGATGGTGGTAGTGGTAGTGCCGCCGGGTGGTTCGCCGGGTGGTTCGCCGGGGGTGTGTTGAGGAGGGAAAGTTCGCGAACATTGCTGGGGGAGGTGAGCGTCGGAGCGAGGAAGAAGAAGAAAGAAGGAGAGAAATATAGAAGGCAGCACACAACACGCTGTCGGCGCACGCGACGAAGAGAAACGATGAGTTGCGAAGGTTGCCGAACGAGGCCGGCCGGCGGCTAAGTTGTCCGTGAGGTTGGCGGCGAGGTTGGCGGCGAGGTTGGCAGCGATAGCTCGAAGGAGAAGGGCCGAGGCCACGTGACTACGGCAGCCAATCGGGTGGGAGCTAAGCCGGTGTCCGGCACATGGCGACGCGCCGGCTTCGGCATCCGCAGTCGCAGTACGTCGCAGTCAGTCGCAGTGGTAACACGAGCGAGAGGGTAGTTGCACGCGCCTGCCTTAGAGAGGAAAGACCGCGGACCGAGATCGAGAGAAAGAGAGAGAAGAGAAAAGTATTGCTGGCTAGTCGACGGTAGGAAGGAGATACCAAGTACGCCCGGCTTTGTCCAAGAGAGAGAGAGAAGAGAGGGAGAGAGAAAGAAGAAAGGCGTGCGTATAGTAGACGTGGGAGGGAGAGAGCGAGAGAAAGAAAGAAAGAAAGAAGGAAAGAAAGAACGAACGCGTCTCTCAACTCTGTTTGCCAGTAGTGTGCTCAGTCGCGCGACGACGCTCTCCAACGATTCGGGTAAGTCTCTCTGTGTTGGTCGCTAAGAAAATTAAGAAAGAGTTGGAGGACATATACGATCGTGTCCGATGCGACTAAAGAAAAGAGTTTAAGAGGACGTAAGTAAAAGATTTACGAACGAACGAATTACGAAGGCGCGCTGCGCATCCGAAGACGACGACACCGCCGCCAACCCTGACGAACACGACAAGCGGTAGTTGCAGTCGAGAACTCGAACGAACATTTTTTCCTATCTTTTGGGAGCTGTCGCACTATTAATTATTCGAATATAACCATTCATTCTTATTCGCCTGTGCTGCGTTTAGTGTTTTCATTAGAGAAAAAGCTTCTCTTCGTTGCCAACGAAAAGGAGAGAAAAATAAAGAAAGAGAGAGATAGAGCGCAGTGATAGCGAACGGAAAAGAAGAGTGAAAAAAGGCAAGGCAAGGCAAGGCAAGGAAGGAAAGACGACTACGACTACGTTCGTCATTAACGTTCGTTATTTTTATACGGTGCATCGCTGCTTGCTTTTCCCTTCGCTCCTTCTCTTTCGAAGTACGCGCGCGAAACCGTTTTCAAATATCTCGTGTCGAGTGAACGCGAACGACGAACGTTTTCATTGGACGGACCAAGAGGGCCGTTCCGACATTAAAAATAAGAAGTGTGTGTTGGTGCGCGCATCAAGGTGAAAACAAAGAGAAATAGACGGCGAGGAGTAATCGAATAATCTCGGCTTCGAACGTTGAAAAAAAAAAGAACATTTTCCAAAGTAATATTCGTCAAAGAGATATCATCAAAATGCCGACAAGTCTGTTTAGCGAGATTGATCGTTGCACGAATGGGGTATCTAACTCCATAGAGGAGCAACGCGCTCTTCAGCTCGCGTTCGAGCTCTCGATGCTTGGGCTCGATCAGAGCACGCCCGGATGTCCCGGTACCGGAACTAGCGCGGTCCCTGGTGCCAACACCGACCCGGATCCTCTACAAAATCCACCAAACAGCGTTTTCGAGGAAGCTCGTTCAAAAAAGAGCCAGAACATGACCGAGTGCGTGCCGGTGCCTAGTAGCGAGCACGTGGCTGAGATCGTCGGCCGACAAGGTGAGCGTACTTCATTTCACGCACATTTTTCTTATTTTACTTTTCATTTCATTTCATTCATCCAACTAACGTAAACTCTGCAAATACTCTATTACTTTTTCTTTTTATATTTCTTTTTTATTGTGTACGCATGTTCTATACGTTCCGTATCGACGATAATCGAGAACAGAGTTTTCTCTGTCGAATCATCGAAAGCCTGCCTATGATCCCCAGTCGATTATATTTGCATTTTTTTTCTCTAGTTTCGTCGATGCCTTATTTTTTTCATTCTTTCATTTAAAATTATACTTTGACAAATGTGGAAGTGTTAGTCAATAATATTATATATTACGCTATTTGCAGTTTACATAGCGTGTCGTGAGTAGAGTTTGCGTCGTACGACCGACCCGTCCCTTATCGTTATCTATTCTCTCTCTCTCTCTCTCTCTCTCTCTTTCTCTCTCCCTCTCACCCTCTTTCTCTCTTTTCCTTCGTCCATCGTTTTATTTCGCGGCGTGCTATTACGATAATAAAAGCGTGCGTGAGAAACAATAACTCTTACTATTTTTACGAGCAAATTGCTTTTTCGTCTCGTTTTCTCGATTAATGTGTCGTACGCTTATCGAACGTTATAATTATTTGACTTGGAGAGGAATTCTTATTATAGAAGAAATAAAAGTATAGATTTACAATTGAGAGAAAAGATTGAAAAATAATCCTTGAAAGTAAGAAAAATATGAATGATATTAATAAGGATGATCTCTTAGGTGAGTCTCTTTTCGTATATCATTGCTTCGTTCGAGAAAGAAATAATAAGATGGAGGAGAGTACCAGGGGGAAGGGAAAAGTAGCTGTACGTCGATATACGCGACGCGATGCGCCACGGACGGTTCATTGGCCACGAGGAGTCGTCGTAGTGTGGTACAAACGCGAGAACGCACCGCGGGAAACTCGATACCGAGTAAACGTCGTCGATTAAAGCCAATTTACGTTCGAACGAGCGAAATTCCCCTCTTCCCTTCCCTCTCCCTTCTCTCTCTTTCTCTCTTTTCCGACAGAGAAAGAGAGAGAGAGAGAGCGAGTTCTTTCTAACCTTCCCTCTCTTTAATTTTTTGTCCTAGGTCATGTTCTCTTGTATGCTTTAAGCTCTCGAGGCTCTTTCAAGGAAGCTAAGAAAATTTCAATTTTAAGTAGGGAATTCTGCGAGAAAGTATTATCGTTAAAAAAAAGAAAAAAAAAAGAAAATACAACCAGGAAAAGAAAAAAGCTCTCCTCGCACATGGGGAAAGTGGAAGCGCACGCGTGCGCGCGCGCGCGCGTTCGTCGAGTACAACCTTCACTCGCTTCGCCCTGTCGTAGGTCGCGGCTCGTTTCTCTCGACCTTCGAATAAGACGACGAATCGTCGATCCTTTCGTTTGTTTCTTCTTTCTCTTAGTCGATCGTGCATACATTTCTCTCTCTCTCTCACACGTTTTATCTTTCTCTATATCTTGCTCTATCACTCTTCTTTATTCTTTATCTTTTATCTCTCTTTGACGTCTAGATCGAAACTCTCGAACGATACACATTGCTCGCACGTCTCATAAATAAAGAAGGCTCGTGTTCTGCGTCCGCGACGTCCGACGACGCATCCGAAAGAGAAAGATAGAGAGTCTCGTCAGGCAGTAGCCTTGACGCAGCTCGGTGGCAATGCTTTTGCCGGCAAGTTCCCGACTTTACCTCTCTTCTCTTCTCTCCGATCCGTTTCAGGGTATTTCAGGTTCGCGAGCACCTCTTTCTACCACGATGCTCTCTCTCTCTCTCTCTCTCTCTCTCTCTCTCTCTCTCTCTCTCTCTCTCTTTCTCTTTCTTCTCTTTCTTTATCTTTCGTTCATCGACCGATGGTGTCCTGTCTCTACCCTACGGTCTTTCCCCAAGGCCGCTTCCGAGAAAGGTGCCAGGTGTAGGTGCGCTTTGTTCGGATCGTACATAACCGTTTCTACATGGACACTGTGCGAACTACACACAGTACTTGCGTAGATGTGAACTTTTATGAAACGGTTTAAAACATCTTTATCGGGTCGTTTTTCTCTCTCTCTTTCTTTGTTTTTTCCTCATTTATTACGAAAATATCGACTGCCTACGATCGTCTCTCAGCAACTTTTTATCATATATTTTTTTTCCCTTTCTTTCTCTCTCTCTCTCTCTCTCTCTCTCTCTCTCTCTCTCGCTCTTACTCGTACGATGCGTAGGCGTAAACGAAGCGGAAGTATCGATAGAATCAAGGCAATGGCTCTCCCGCTCGCTGTAAATTTACGATCTTACGATATTTAGCGAAACACGTTGGAGAGTTTCTTCGAGCGTTTTGTTGTTTAAAAAAGAAAAAACGATAAAGACTTGGACGGCCTGTGGGCAAAATGTATCGCAGAAAGAGAGCCAACCTCGACCGGACCGCGATTGAAAGGATCGTTGAAATAAGTATTCTAACCGAGGCAACGTACTTCGAGTTTAAAATTATAGTACCGTCTTTATTTCGACCGTTTCGTGATCGTCGCGCGCAGTTGTGGTGTTCATATTTCGAACATATCGTCGAGAACGACGAGATGTTGTCAACAAGACATTTTCAAACGGAATATTGAAAACGAACTCGTCAGTTTTGTTTTTCTTAGCTGAGCGAACGTTCGATCTCTAGTCGGATAATCGATTAATTCCATTTACACGTAGACATTTTGCTCGTTCCCATCACTTTCTGTAAGACAGAAAAGGAAATTGGAGAAGAGACGAGGGAAACGCGATTTACTCGACTGTTGTTGTCTATTCGCGATTAGAACAGAAACGACGGGTGTCTAGTTCTACAAAGTAGAAAGTCCGAAGTCGATTTGCGCGTGCCGATGATCGATCGTACACGACTACTCTGATAGAAACTGTTTCATGAGCCGCCGTCGCGAACGATTTAAATATCCAATCGCTATCGACGCGATGCGTTTATCGAACTGTTCGCGCCTCTCTATCTTGTTTATTTTCTTTTACAAATATCAAACGGGAAAAAAAGTCAAATTTATCTACTCCGCGTATATATATACCTACTCGTACCTGTCTAGATCAATCCGCAGTATACTATTTATATCTATCATCGAATTAATCGTTCTCTCTGCGAGGAGAACGATATCTAAGGATGTGGAAAAGCACTAGCGAACGATGCGAGGGTTCGCGTCGGACGTAGGAGGAAGCGGCGTACGTTACACGCGGGGAGTGCTAATATCGAGCGTACAATAACATCCTCGTAGATCGTCGTAGTAACCGGTAGGAGGAACGGTGTCAAGCCGATCGCGCTTTAAATTCAGGCCTCGTTGCGATTCACGTACGTGCTTATCGTCCCTTCCGTTCTCCCTTAGCTCTTTGTCCTCTCCCTCTCTTTCTTCCTCACTCTCTATCTGTTGGTACCGCGAGTTGAGAGTCACTGCCATGGTCGTGCGACCGAATCACGCGAGCGAGACACACAGCGAAAGAAGAGGGAGAGCTTTCGACTGTATATACGCGTAGCCGGAGCGAGTGTGGAACGCGAAGATCGTCTCTCTGTCCATCTCTCTTTCTCCCTCTTACGGCGTCTTCCTTTTATTTCGGGACGATTACGCGTCACGAAGATGCACCGTGGCACGACTCTCGAAAGATTCGTTTCGTCCGAGGATCCGGCTGATTCTACTTCTTCGACGATTATACTACAAGATTTGGCCAAATCAATCAATGCTTTTAATATTCTCGACGATCGAATAAATCATCATTTCAATTCCCAAACAAAGTTACCTATTTCGTTAACACGTTTCAAAACATATCCGTACGTTAATGATTTTTCTTCTTAGCTTAGGATGCTTGCTTTTGGCATCCTTTTCTTTTTTTACCAACCAGTTAAAGTACCTACCGAAAAGAACGCTCAACAGAGAGGAGTACGCTTCTCGCGTCGACGCCAGGAGAAGAAACCGGGGTTGCGCATTTACATGCGCAACGACCACCGAAGCCCGTTTTCTCTATCTTATGTTAGCTCTCTCTCTCTCTCTCTCTCTCTCTCTCTCTCTCTCTCTCCTCCTATCTTTCAAACGCGGCGTATTGTGTCTCGTAGATCGGGACGCGAGCTTTTTTCCCATTGAGTCGCGCGCGAGCGCGCGCATTCTGGCCGCCTCGAAACCAGTTTAACATACCTAGTCATGAATCATTCCCATAACTCGAAAGTCCATGGACTCGCGTGGCCGAATAGCGGCTCCAACTTCTATATACGTACAACGATATACGTACAACGCTTATAGGTACTTGCATATCTCTTTTGCTCTCTCTCCTCGTTTTGTACTTTGCTTTTGTATTTCTCTCCGTCTCTGTCTGTCCGTCGTTCTTTCTCTCGGAAGTTCGACCGAGTGCGAGAAGATGGCAATTTTCTCTTGAACGCGACCGCGTCGATCCAATAACGACGTCTAATGAGTTTGATACGCCGTTCCATTATGAGGATGTAGCTATTTGTTAAGCATTTTCGCTCGATCGTTCTCTCTGTCTTGCTCCAACTCGTATCTCGTATAGTGTCTAGTGGAGCGAAAGAGAAAGAGTATGTCGCTCTCTCTCGCTCTCGTAGACCGGAAGCTGTAATGAACGCCTCCGTCGACGGACTCTCGTCGCCTCGCGCGTTCATCGCGTCGTGCTCGACGATGACGTTACTTTGGAAACATCACGGCTGGTTATCCAGGTCGTTAGCTCGTGCACCGCCTGACTCTCTCCGAGGGAATGATTTACTACAGGGAATAATAAATACACGGAAAATGCATCGTAATTGTAACTTTGGCGAATTAAATATACTCTTTATGATCGCGATCTAATTCAAGGTAGAATCAAAATCGATATCGCTTCGAGATAAGGTACTACACGGTTGGTGAAAACCTAATGGACAGCGTAAGAAAAAATAGTCCGAGAAAAGAGCCGAGTTTTCTTAGTGATCGTGTTTCTTAGTTAGTAAGTAAGGTTGACCGTTCTATTTTCAGTACAGAAACTGAGAATGTAT